ATCATTCAAATCGGTTGAGAAACATAGGAGCATTAGGGATTTGTATGGGATTTCGTTAGCGTATTAATACATATATAGATATTATGAACTTATGCCACCATTTTTGTATTGCGATTTTTAGTAATTTCTGAAAAATTGTAGTGAACTACTTACCGCCTGGAGGGGAGAAATCAATAATGATTTTTTGTTGCAAATGTTGCTTCTTTTATCATTTCTTGAAAAAAATCATCAATTTACCGTCCATTGACATATTCGTATAAAACCGTGCTGCGAAATCCGCAGGTACATTGACGGTCATAGGGGAATTCAATTTCAGAACCCTTGGCACAGCTCAATTGGAGCGGGAAGCACAGGCAGCCCTACATGGAACCTAGCTTTAAGTGGGAACGAAGGTTTCGCACAACGGTTGAGGAGGAGGTATGGCGCAAGGGAATGAAATCTAGCCATATATCCCTAAAAATTTTCACGGACGGCTCTAAAATAGTAACAAGAGTTGCTGCCGGGAGCTGAACGTCAGGCGTGCTGTTAGGTTACCTGACCATTGCAGTATATTTCAAGCAGAGCTTTTCGCAATGAGGATAGCAGCACAGCTGACAGAAGGCTGCATATCTATTCGGTGCCCGGCCCCAAGAGAATATAGGGTAATGAAATAGCAGATGAGACTACTAAATCTTATAAGCTATAAGTTTTAGGAGCTATAGCAGCTAGGCCTTAAGCTCGATATTTTCTTACAAATTTCCATTCTTAAATGTAAACACATTTTATTTTAGTTCCTACGGCAAAGATTGGTTCTTTTAAGGAATTTAGTTATTAGGGATATTGATTCGGAAGAAGGAACTGAGAGGTGTGGTATTGGGTTTGTGTTAGTGAATATTTGTTCTCTACGGGTGGCATGCAGTGGGAGAATATGAGTAACTGTGGCTATGTTATCGGTGTTGCAAGTATAGTGTATTGGGTTTGTGTTATTCATAAGATGACAGTGTGTTATTTTCGTGTGTGCTAATCGAAGGGGTTCGAATTTTATAATGTCTAGTCTTGTAGTTGCTTTTTTTTTGTAGTATAAGTTCGGGCGAAACCGAATTTTATATACCCGACGCAGGTATCAACTGTCGTCGTTCCAACTTTCTTTAAACTACCTAAAAGCCTATAACAGTCTTATTTATTGTTGAGAGATTGTTGTCAGTATTAACTGGGAGTAAATGAAGGTCCTCAGATAATGAAATATCGGAATTTTCATATATCCGAAAATTAAAGTTATACGGGAAGCCGGTGCAATTTTAATCCGATTTGAATAATTTTCAACGAATTAATTTTTCGTACAAAGGTAGAAATTGATAAATCGGTTACCGAGATACACATTTTTTGTCATAAGTAGGCGGAGCAATACCCAAATTCCAAAAATTTATAATAATCTAATTTTCTGCTCAGTGGTCATCGCCACAATCGATTTTATGTCAATTAACTTCAGCAGTTACTGATTTATCGCAGTTTTCGTGTTTCTGTAAACTACCGTTATATGGGAGGTGGGCGTGGTGGGGCGTTGCCCCATTTCAAAAATTTTCAACGAATTTCTTAGCTGGATCCTAAGCAAGGCTCGTACCGAGTTTGATAAGGATTGGTGAAGCGGCTACTAAGATACAGTAGTTAATCATAAGTGGGCGGGGTCGCGCCCCTTTTTCAAAAATTTCATAATAATTTTATTTTACACAAAAATTCTACTTCACATACTAATTTTCATAGTTTTTGCATTTTGCGAAAATACCGTTATGTGAGAAGGGACGTGGTTATAGTCCGATTTTGCCCATTTTCAATAGCAACCTACCTTGGATAAAGGGCAACCTATATACCAAATTTCGTTGAGATATCGAGTACATGGACAGACGGACGGACGGACGGACAGACAGACATTGCTTAATCGATATAAATTTTCATTCTGATCATTTATATATACATTTGTCTATATCTGTCTCGATTTCTTTAGGCTGTTACAAACAACCGTTATGCGAACAAAGTTATGATACCCTGTGGAAAAGTGCGCTCGAGTATAACAAAAGTCCAGCGCCAAAGTTAGATATACATACGAGTTGTATACACTATAGAAATTAGAAAGTTTTAGTTGAGTTAATAAGTGCACCCCAAGGATTTCACAAAAATGCTTTAAATTTTACTATTTTTCAAACGTGCCAAAATGAAAAATTAAGTGCCGTTTGAAGTAAAAAACAGCCCTGGATATGAGTATTTGTGTAGTTTATGTTTTTGTACCAGGTAGGTTCCATTTGAGGCGTTGATTGCAAAACTGCAAAAATTATGTGCGAAACCACCGGAAGCAATTATACTCGCTTCTTGCTACGACCACCAAAGAAATATTTCAGAGTTAGAGAGGATTGCTTACGGGGCATATTCTAGGGGGAAAAATTGGTATCAAGTGTCGTGAGCGGGAGACCAGGGAAACTTTGCAGCATCTTCTCTGCCGATGTCCTGCACTGTCAAAAGCATAACTAAAATTCTTAGGAGCTTACGAATTCGAGAAGTTAGAGGACATCTCAAAAGTAGAGCTGAAAACTCACCTGAGATTCCAAAAAGGCGTTGGCATCCTTTGTGAAAAAACGAGCTCCAACTGGAACGCTAAGGAACTATCGGTCTATGTGCGGCTCAACGCCGGCCAGATTAACATAAACTCACCTAACATTTTTGTAGGTAAATTAAGAAATTCAGGCGCTAAATTGAAATAAGGACAACATTTCTCAAATATTGCCACGGTATAAATGGGGTTTATAACTAAAGAGGGATTTGTACAGTTAGGCAGTCACAGGGTGGTGTTGTCTAGAAATCTTTGTCGAGAATGAGTTCAGCTCGATAAAAAATTTCCAAGCAACAACACTCTGTTACTGTGGAAAAGTACTAATCTGTACAAATTTGCAAATCGTGTGGTCCCTGTTTTTGTTTTTGTATTTTTTTTTGTTCATTCATACTAATATTTAAAAAACTAAATTCAAACTTTTTTTATAAAACAACGAGTTAAACATGACCCTTTTAGACCTCTCTGTCTTCAAGGGATAACTTTTTTTTTTAACAAAAATGTGGAAAAATGAGCATTTAGGCTATAGTGCAACGTGAAAACGGCTCTAAGAAATACTATATGTTTTGCGAAATAAAAAAAAAAATATTTGTTGTACTACTTAGTAATGCATCATACTTGAGATATATTTCGCAATTATTGCCAATAATATGTATCAGCGAAAATTTGGAATTTATTAAGTTCGCTACTTAAGTCTTTCAATTTAGCGAGTCATTCAATTACCTCAACGATTTTTTTTTTAATTTCGGCAAATGTTATTGTCAAATTTATTGCAAAATTTGCAGTGATGTTACACTTAAAATCATTAAAGCACATTAATTTTTTATTTTTTTCAATGGAAGCGCTCATTTTTAATAAGGTCACCAGGGCTTTACAACAAATATTGAATCAAATGCATTCGTTGAGCGCCATCATTTGGAATCCTCAGTGAGAGAAGAGCATTGGCGAATTCTGAGCCATTTTAAAATATGCTATGCAGTTGTTTTTTGTATTTAATGTTTGCTTTGCACTATTAATTGTAGTTGGCTGATGTTGCAGTGTTCGCATCTATCAAAAGCCCCAAAGCGGATTTCAGCGATTGCTTTTTCAAGCGCGTTTGTCTTTGGCGTTTGAATTGCATGTTTTTGTCTTTTACGTTTTTCACTGTTTTCGAGTTTGAATTTGATTTTGATTTTGCTACTTCTGCTTTTTAAATTCTTGTTAGTTGCGCTTCAGCTGTTGCTGTTGTGTCTTTATGGATGTTGGCGGTGATGATGATGATGATGCTTTTTGGATTTTGCGCACTCATCGCTCACAGCGCATCGCTCGATGTTGTACGCTTGGCGACTATGCTGAACATATTGGAGGTATAAAATAAAATTGTTTGCGCGATTTTTTTAACTTTCGCATCTCGACTAGCGGCAGAGTCACACGTGTTAACGCGCATTCGTTCATTTCCTTCCTTTTGGCACAGTCGCGATAATTACAGGTGTAGGCGTGTTAATTGGAAAGTGCGTATGAGGGAAATATGTATTTAGTTTATTTATTCAAGTGTTTCCAATAATAAAATATGTGTATCTAGAATACATTACAAAATGAAGAGAATACTCTTCGTGTAAAATAAGAAAATACTATAAATGTGCGAAAAGGCTACGCAAATAAATAGTTGACATAATAAATATTAATATAGTGAAAGATTTTAATGGATAAAACCAAACGAACAAAGATATTCCACCTTATACGAAAAAAACATGATTAACCTCTACACAATTATTTAGACTCCGGTAACAACGTTCTTAAAAACAATTTTTAAAATTGTGGTGCACTTCAAATTTGTTTTGGGATTTAAATATGTGCAGAGTAGACAACCCAACAAAAAAGCTTTTAATAGCAGAAATACATATAAACTGAATTCAAAAAAAAAAAAGAAAAAAAGATATAAAAATTTGTTAATACAAATCCACAAATAAAAAGAAAATTGCTACATATTAAGATTAAGACCAAATGAAATTGTAAAAACGACTTCGACTTTTTAAGTCTCAAGTATTTAGATATAAGGGCGATTTTTCATAAAATTTGTATGCAAAGATATATGTACATATATTGCCTCCATTATCGTATTCCTAGATACTACATAGTATATGTACAGTAGCCTTATTACCCACATAGATTCAAACTTTAAAGATTTTTTTTATTCATTTTTATTTTTTTGGTTCACAAGTAAATCCCGGCTATTTATTGCGGCGTTTCGGCAATTTGTATGCATATACATAATACGTGCATAGATAAATTGTGTTTTATTTTTCCTCTCATTTTCCTTGTTCTGGTCGTTGTAGATAACTGAATTGCATTCAAAACAAATTACGTATACGCTCCATGCTACATTTTCCGTAGTTGAAATACAAGCACATAGACCAGTATAAGCATAAACACTAACTTCACGATGGCTATGAAAACAAAATCAACACCACCAACAACAGAGATGACTCAGAAGCAACAAAAAGAACAAAACTTCACAAAATATTCACATCGGCGGCATCTTCATTTGGATACATCGCTGCTACAGCGACACGCCGTTGCAATTTCAACGTTTTTTATTATTTTCGGATTACTTTGTGCTGCGATTTGTGTCAGTGGGGTAAGTGTACTTTAAATAAGCGAGCAAATATATGAACATGTGCAATACTTGCATATATCTACATATGTAAATATATATACATGAGTATATACATACGTATACTCACGTACATGTTTCAACCAATTGTTGCATGCAACTAGCCATACCACCCTACGCTCTTGCAGTTTCGGCGCATTAAGCGTCTCTTGGCTTTGGCGTGCATTCATGTGAAAGTGAGGGCGCGCATCCATCGCCATCGCAATGCTATTTCAGCAGATCAGCACATCACAATCACCTTCCACATCCACTTTTTGCCATCATCTGCTCTGCGCCTATCCGTCCCTTTGTGATGATCAAAATTATGTATGTGTGTTTGTTTGTATTACAGTAGGTCTGCCAACGCCGTCAGTATTATAGGTTTGTTGCGGTGTGTGCCTGTTTCTATTTGCCAATCACCTCTTCATGTTGATTGCAACGATTTACTATTTTTATTCCACCGTGCAACTTCAATTTAGCGCAATTGATCGAATGAGCGGACAACATTCACGATTTCAATTTGATTTCATTGTGTTCCCAACATTTTCCCTGATCAAATGAAAATAACAAGCAATATACATATGTACATACATATGTATGAAACGATGAGCACTTGCAGTTGGCTTCATACAATTTGATCCGCTTGTGGTGTCTGTCTGCGGTTTGATGACGGCCATTTAATGAATTATCTAGCAATATTATTTGATTTTAATGACACTTAGTGTATATGGTTTTATACTCGGAATCGATAACTAATATATCGCTTAAAATTGTAAACTCCCAAAGGCCGTTTTACAGTCAGTACCAAGAATATATGGAAAAATTTTGTTTAAAAATTTTGATATGCATACTAGAGGGGTTCAAAAATTTTTTTTTTTTGGAAATTCATAAACGCTACCTCGAATTATTGTTATCTGTGATAAAAAATGAGAAAACGTGTTTTTTTATTTTGAAAAAAAAAAGTTTTCTTAGAGGTCGCGCTGGTCGGTTTTTTATAAAAACGCTGATGTTCTAAATTTTTTTATTTTCCTGACATGTTAAAATGCAGCTAAAATTTTGTTTTTTACATATAATTACTCTGATATTATTGGTGAACATTCCCTTAATTACATACCTGTCTTGGACAGTTAGAATGGGCCTAGTGCCCGAAAATATGCTCTCGAAAGAGACTAGTAAAATTAAAACGTTGATACCGAACGACTTACGCATTGTCATGAGTTGGAACTTGTTACCAGGGTGTTTCTGGGGTTGCTAATTATATATGAAGTTTTATGAACGTAGGATAACGATAACCCGTGCCGGCTTTTAGTTGAAGTTTTAGTTAATAATTTGAATTAGTCGTGCATGAAAGCTTTAGAAATGCGAAAAAATTCGATATCTTTCCCATATTTTAGCGCATTTCTAGTGAATCCACATCTTTAAATTTTTAATAGGACGCTAAGATTTTTACCAAGGACATCGAAAAAAATTAATTAATCCAAAATATCCTTTGAAATGAATTATATACTACTTATATTAATACGTTTTAAACGAAAAATCTTCAAAATGCATTTAAAATTTAAAATCTCGACGGATACTATTTTTCAAAGGACATTTTTGACACGTTCCATAGGATAATTGAAAAAAAAAGTTTAATTTAATCTCGGTTTGAATTTTTCTTTTAATTGATACCCATATATCCATATTTTACATATGTTAATTTTTGGAAATATATTATAATTTATGGTCCTTGGGAGAAAATCCTGACTACCTGGTAAAAACTTAAAAACGCAGATTTACTAAATATTATGCCCTAATACTGTATAGTAAGACCGCCTTATATAGAAGTAAAACAAAGAATATTCTGATAACTTTGACTGCAAGTCGGCACGGGTTGCCGTGGTCCGAATTGCATAACATAGCATAGGGATATTAATTTTTCTGTTTTCTCCGATCCCGGGATTTTCGGGATGGCGTTGTCAGAATCCCTTGATCCCGGGATTAGTCCAACAAAGGTTGGAAATAAAAAAATTTTGCCTTATTTCCCATTGCTTATTTGTACTATTTGTAACAAAACAGTTTACTGACCAGAAGCAAAAAACTTTGTTGTGTAGGAAAAGAGTCGTATTTAATAACTGCTCAGCAGATTGGACATAGCCCTTTTCCATGAATTTTATCTGCATGCTTTTTTAAATGTGTTGAAAACATTGCTGGAAAACCTTAAAATGTTTTCATGGAACCATGGCGCAATAAACAGGTGAAGTTATAAAACAGCTTTCTCGCTTTATTTTCTGTCATTCGGCTGCCTTATAGTCAAATTTTATAGGCAATTTTTCAAATAAGACAGTGTCAAAATCTTTCTTCTCGCTCTAATTACTTCACCTGGTATAATTCCGCCTTGGCATGGTACAAACAAAAGTTGCCGTTCCTGTTCGCAGCATATAACACAGATAATATTGTTTTGAGTTTTATCTTCAGTTAAAATCTGTGCATTATCATCACTTGTTTCACCATATCCGAAATGTGGATTTCGTTTACGAAGACGAAGCGAACATGCAGTACGAAGTAGTGATGTAAAAATATGTAAAATTTTACCTACTCTCAGACTTCTAAATTTGAGCGTATGCTCGGTACAAGCAGATGGGATGAATGGCGCAATAAACAGATGAATTATTAAAACAGCTTTCTTCCTTTATTTCCTGACATTCGGCTATCGGACGCGAGGGCGACGTCGAACGCTGTGTGACGCGGGTGGCGCGGGGCGGCACGCGAACGCGGACCGCGGCGACGATGGGGACTTTCAAAGTTGTAGATATACTTACAAATCCGTTCATTTAACTTGTTCAAGTACTACTTTTTGCAAAATGTAACTGGGTGACTACCAACATATGTGCACTATTTTGCTTTATTACTCAAATTGTTAAGTTTAAAAGTTGGTCCTATTGTTCAACGAGAAATAAAATAAAGCAAATTTGTGCTATTTCACATTCAACTGGGAAATAACACAAATTTGCGTTATTGCCGTTTGTGTTATTTCACCCCCTGCTCTCCTACCATGAAACAAATAATAATAAATGGGTTTGAAACCTACTTTTTTATTTAAAGTGGCGTTTTTATTTTTTCTCTCTGACTTTGTAATTTCAAAGATATGATTAATTCCAAAAATTGTTAAAAAAATTCAGTGCAATGTATGTAGAATAAAAATATGGGTAACAAATGCAATAGGAAATTTCTTTAGAACTTAAAAAATTTAAATTTTTTGGATTCACAAGGACGAATAGGTAATTTTTAAGCTGACAAAGTTAGTTAGTTAAACATATAATTTTTTCAAAAACAAATATTACGAAATTTCAAGGATAAAATTTTAAAATGACATTTTCAATATTTACCAGCCCTTCTGCACCAGAAACTTGAATCTGTTTAAATTCTACAGGATTTCCTCATTAATTTTATACCCATACTTCTTCTCTAAACACTTTTTTCTGAATTTTTAAATTACTGACGTCAGAGTGAAAAACTAAAATCGCAATTTTACTATATTTGGCCCATAGTTTCGCGAATATATTGATATTTGTGTTTAAAATTTACTATCGCGCGGTGTTATATGTTTAATAAGCTAGACAAATAAAAATAAATGAATTAATTAAATAAAGAAAGAAATATAGCCAAAACTGCTATAGTAAAATTGCGAAGTTGACAGCTTATAAAATTTATTCTTCTAATATTCTATTTTTTTAGGAAAAATGGAAAAAGCAATAAATCGTCGGACAAAGCTAAACACATTGCTTAAAATTAAATTACTATTATTATTATCGTTTTTTTCATTTAAGAGTAATGATTATTAATAAAATTTAAACGGCTTGTACAGACGCAATCAATTCGAATTTTGAAGTGAAAATGTTGGAGCTTATAGCTTTTGACTTTTGTTGAATAATCATTATTCTTAAGTGAAAAAATAAATCTCAATATTAATTATTATCTTTAAGCGAAAAAATAAAAATCGTATAATGATAATTATTTTTGATCGGAAAAATAAAGATCAAATATTGGAGTGATACACGGAAATTCGTTCCTCAACATATCCCAAAAAAAAATTGTATGGGCTATTTAGATTCATATTGAAAAGCACGAAATTTGAATGAAAATTTGTCGAATTTTCCTAAATTTTGTATAAAGCTTTAAACTTTAACTTTAAACTAAACGATTTATATGAATCTGGTTAAAACATTAGAATTATTTTTATAAAAAAATACCAAAAGCTTTAACTTGAAAACATTTTTAATATTAAACAAATTAACTTATTAATTATGAACACTTGTTTGAGACACTGTATGTATGTGCCTTACTTACATCACTAATAGGTCATTAATCGTAGTACCTAAGGTTTTAGTAAAAATTAAAATACAGCAACATTCTCTCCAAAGTCAATCTCAATTTTCCTTTCATTTGTGTGTGTTTCGAATTATCGTTTGTAGATTTACGTGTTTTTCGAATGGGACAGTCTGCAAATGCAATAATTACACCAAAACTGTTAACGGTGATAACGCAATACGGCAAACAAAGCCAAGTAAACCGAAATTTATGCAGTATTTACACATACACTTTTGAACACATTTGTAAGTTTGTATGTTTGGTTCGTTTCGAAAACCCTGTAGTCAAATGTACTAGTTTTACACTAGGGTATTACGGTTAATTTCAGTATAAAAAATTAGACAAGCAATTAATTTTGGTGATAGTAAAAGTTCCTTTACATATCGTCGCCTGGATAAAAGATTGTCGTGTATTACTTTCGGCCGGTTTTGGGAAATCGCGATTGTAGTTTGGAATGCAATTTCTCAAAAACGCGAAGATAGATTTTCTCCAAAGCCTCGGAAAATATTACTAGTTCACAAAATTCCTAAATTATTTTACTTTTATTGTTTATTGTTAATCAGTTTTGAGTTTATAAAGGATTTTCTTTAATAAAATTTTGTGGTATGCGATACTTGTCAACTATTTGGCAGCCA